ACACACACACACACACACACACACACACACACACACACACACACACAAAGGTAGCAGCTGGATCCATGCCAAAAAGCACATTAGCGATTAAAAGCAGAAGGGGACAAATCAATATTGCTCAGCTCGGCACCTTCAGTGGGATCTATCCAAAAGACAAAGTAGAAGTGTCGTACTCAAGCTCATTCGATTTTACTTTGATCAAAGCAAAAGTGAAATTGCTTTCTTGCATGCCTTTGGGGAAAGCTGAGATGGAATGCTTTATTTATATGTTAATCTTGGTTTTCACTTGTACCACAGCGCCTGTTTTATGAAATGTAAATGTCTTGTTGGAATAGAGATTTGAAAATAGACGGATCATCAAACATTATGCTAAAAAGATGGCGATAAAATAGGAGGGGAGCGCTGGACGGAATAAAAAAATATGTCACAACCTTCTTTTTTGCAGTCTTCCGAAATCTTCGCTTGCGTGTGTTCTTCAGCGGGCAGGTGACTGCGGACCAAAACACCAGAGTTAGCAAAAGAAAAATGGCTCAATCAGTAGGAGGCAGAGTCTCCTTCCACATCTGCTGACACATGACTTTTCAGCTCAAACTCTTCAATAGTCTGTTGTGTGGGAATATTTATCAACTTACTGCCATGATTCCAAACAAATTTCTTGTCCTTGTCTTTGTCTTTCTTTTTGCTCTTTGGGTCGGTGCCAGTTGGCTCCTCCAAAGGAGGGTAAAGGTCTCCATCTAGTGTACAGACCAGCATCTAAAGCAGGAAAGCAAACAAAATAAATTAATCAGAACCTCGAAGATAATTCATATACCAAAAGTATCCTAGAGTAATTTAACATAATGAGTTCCTGGTTCACAAGCACACTATTTAATGAGGCTCAAACCCAAATGTAACGCTGATGAGTGTGGCAGTTTACCTGGCAGACATCAGCAGTCTTGTAAAATGTTTTCTTGTCTACTGTTTTCAGGGACTCAATCATACAAGGCAAGTCCACCAGTTTGCAGGCCAAAGGAACACGGTCTACTCGAACTATACCATGTCGACCATCAGCTACAAAACAGAAAAGCAGAGAAAAGCAGGGTTTTACTGGAAGTCACTGATGTAGTGGAACTAACGTTAACATTAACCAGAAAAAAATATATAAAAATGTAATACATTTTTACTAAGATCCATTAAAGTTGAGGGATTGTGTCTGCAAATGCAAAACTATTTAGACAGTGTTTCTCAAAAGAGAGTATAACTGTCTAACTTGGGTATGTTCTCATGCTGATTGCACACCTACTGCGTTTACAGTGATCCTCTGAGTTGGGCTGCACTAAAAAGAGTCGCTGTAATCCAGATAAACGTACAGTAAAACTATTTTGGTAATTTGTTTTGCTTCCACAGAATAATCAAATTATCTGAAAAATGAGAACCTAGGTGATGTAGGAATAAAGTCTGACCATTCTGATGCTACCACACAATAACAAAACAGTCCAAAAAAAACAAACACATTGAAAACACACACAGAGTAATTCATCCCTTCAAAAACCAAAGAAAACCCCATATTTGGTGGTGAATATAGCGATTGTAAAAACAATTTGACAGCTCTTTGCAAAACTGAACATTTGAAAATATAAAAATTAAATTCCATGTGACCAAGTATGGCTAATATTTTTGTGGGTTTGTTTTTTTTAATTAGCAGGACTGGCAGTATGAGCAAATATTCCTTATTTCTGTAATGCAAGATATTAAAAAAACAGAATTTGTATCTACACAGGTGCTGAATGAAAGCTAATTTTTTGTATTTTTGAAAAAAGGATGTTTAAACACTGAGGTCACACACCACACAAATCAGTTTTTTGTCTGAAACGGCTTACGGTGCAGCTCGATGGTGAGTTTGTCCTTCATGTTCATACTGCTGGACTGGGCAATTCTTCTTACTGTGGAGGCATACTCCTACACAAAAGAATATAAGTGTACATAATCTTAAACCCAAACCCAAGTTTTCTTTTATTTACAAAAATTGTTTTTCTTAGGTTGAATGTACTCACCGAAGGAAGCCTCAGGACAAATTGGCTTTCCAACTCATAAGGAGCATCTTCCTTGCTTTTAGAGCCAACCTTTCCAACTAGAATCAAAACAAACCACAATGGGTTTAAACAGGATACAAACTTTTTTTTTTCTTGGGGGGGCTTATACAAACATTTGAATGTATAGTTTTGAGACTGGAAAACCTCGTTTTCTTTATGAACTGTATCATTATAGAAGCAGAAAAAACGACTAATGTAAAAAAATGGGATTTTAACAATGAATAAAATAAAATGGACAAACTTTTACATCTAGCTAAAATTTATGACCAGTTATTCTTCAGCACTTACAGTTAACTGGATGACTTTATATTTGTATTAAGCATGGCTTCGAAACAAAACGCGCAAGCTATAAAGAATGCAAGAATAGCCTATGATTTGGCTAGGCTAATGTTGCACTTGTACTGCAGAGGATCTCGAATAATCATGTAACGCAACGATACGCCATTTCCTTCGTATTGTGTTATATTTACTCGTATTAATACTTAAATACAGACATGTTTAAAGTAGCGATAATAGCGAGAAAACAGACTAGAGAACCGCTGTTGTTAGCACAACGTGCTAATAATGCTAGCGCTTAAACGTACCTTTGATTTTAGATGTCATCCTTGAGTTGGTAATTTAGAGGTCCATCTAAATAAATTCAGAGAAATTATTTTAAAACGATAAACAAGAATGCATTTGGTTAATCTAGAAAAAAAAACTGCTTTTCCTCAAATATCTTGCGGAACTGTACAAACAAAAAGCAAAACAGATTTTATTTCTGTTACATTCAAGTACACCTCGAAGTTTTAACTTCTACTTGTTTTTATGCTAAGCTTATGAACTCACTGTATGGATTAAATCCAATTAATGTATCTTATTTATTAACTAAAACAACAAAAATAGCTAAACGTACGAATACATTTTTCTACGATGGTCTGAAATGAGTTTATTTGACATTTACGTAGTCTACAAAAATAATCACCATGAGCCGTAAACATCACATTCAATACGTCAGGTTTTGTTATATCGCGAGATTTGTTACACTGTTCTCGGCGTTCCTCTTGATTAAAAAAAAGCAAATTCAAGTATTTAAATTTAATTCACAATCCTTAACCAGTTTTTTTTTAATTATGCTTGCTAAAAAGACATGCAACTAAATTATGGTGGCGTTGGTCAACAAGGTAATTTTTATCACCGTTAGTTCCACTTCCTTTTCAAGTTAATGAAAATTTATGGTTTCAAAATAAAAGTCGTGCGTTGCAAATACAATTAACTCTTCTGCGAAAACGACAAAATTATAGCTATGTTAACCCTCTAGTGTAAACATATATGCAATATTTTGTACAGAATATTTTTATTCGGATTTATTTGCATTAACTATTTAGAACAGAGCTGCTAAAGATAAATGTTTATCTTACGCTGAAAACATTTTAACTTCCGGGTCGGTTGCGCTGACGCTATCGTCCTATTTTGCGGTCGATACATCCCTGAGCCCAAATAATTTGAGCTGAATTTGTTTCCGTCACTATCTTAAAGTCAACATGGTGTTCAGAGTGAGCGTCAGCAGCTCCCGGAGGGCTGTGAGGACGTGGTGGCTTCTCGTTGTGGTGAGCCTGTGTTTGTTCGTTAGTGTCTGCCGAGCAGCATCACCATCTTCCCAGGAGGAGGAGGACAGTGCAATGGAGAACATCGTTACAGAGAAAAAGGCTGAGGAAAGCCACAGACAAGACAGCGCAGACCTGCTAATCTTCATCCTGCTCCTCACCCTCACCATTTTGACCATCTGGTTGTTCAAACATCGGCGGTTCAGATTTCTGCACGAAACCGGGCTGGCTATGATTTATGGTGAGAGGAAGCTGGTGACGTCACGAGTGCCACTGTGATTAGATTTAAAATGTCTGCTTTCTTTAGTCATTATTAAGGCTCGCGTTGAAACATGGTTTGTTCAGGCAGGTGATGTGGACTGACGACTTCAAAAGGCCTCTTGGGTTTGGTCTTAAATCTACGAAGCTGACCAAGTAGCACAAAAGCTACAATTTCACTTCCCCCTTTCCAACACATGGAGGGCTGGTCAGAGTGAAACTGGCTGAAAACAACCACCGTTTTTCCTCTTTAATTCAGACAACTCACCTGCAGAATAGTTCACGTTAAACCCCTTTAACATGTTTTTGTCTAATCCTCCTGAATATGGACTTATTCAGGTTTAATCTTCGTGATGACGAGAGTTTTTGGAGTGTAATCTGCTGTAATCAAATTACATTTTGTATGAACAGTATAGATTTCAGTTTCCTTTAAACTCTCATCTGATAACAGGTTAAGTTGTTTTTAAGTTCACAATATTACATGTTTAGTTTCAACTCAGTTCAGCTTATTTAGCGCCAAGTCACAATAGAAGTTGTCTCAGGACACTTTACAAAAACATTCACATATTTTAGTGAAAGTTATTTATCTAAGGAAGCCATTGTGTTGAAAGATGTTCGCTTTGTCACAGTCTCCCATCCTGAGCAAACACAAAGGCAACAGTGGGAAGGAAAAACTCCCTTTTAAACAGGAAGAAACCTCCAGCAGAACCAGACTCGGGACGAGCGGCCGTCTGCTCTGACCAGCTGCGGTTTAAGAGGAACAGGAAGGAGAAACGGACAAACACAGAATGGCAGGTCCGGATGTACTTTCTATTGGAAGAAGGACAAAAAGCACATGTTAAGGATAGAAATAATTACAAATACAAACAGGTAGCGTGCAGAGTGAGGAAATGTGGTCAGGTCAACACAACAAATGGTGCGTTCTGTTGCATTTATTGAATTAATTTGTTGTGACATTAAAGTGTTAAACTTTGCTCAGGTGCACAAAGTTTGTTTTCTCAGTCATCCAGGTATATAACAACAAAAAAG